CTTTCTTTTTTTTTTCTTTATTACACATGAAATAGGAGTGGTGAGATTCATGGAAAAAAAATAGACAGATCTGAGATCAAATCACCACTCTACACACTGCCCAAGGAGAGCTCTCTATGGATGTGTTCAACAGTGGTCATTCCTTCACTCCCCTAGACCTGGACCCAGTCACTCTCCCAAGTCCCATCATTCACAAACAGAAAGGAGTGGTGAAAACTCCATTAAAGCAACATTCATTTAGACACACCAACAAAATGAAGCACAATTTACAAAATATGCACCTTTCAGTATGACAAGTATACAAAGGTTGTTAAAATACGATCCAGGTATAAATTATACTTTTTTTCTCAGGAATCAGCCATTGGCACGCAAAAAAAGAGAGGCGGAACATTTTTAAAACATTTCGGTGTAGTTACTTTTCTTGATACAGTATTGTTAACAAATGGGTTCCCATAATCAAAAATGCATTAACGGTTAATATCCAACTTTAGGAACAAAAAGGAGTTAATTCAAAGTGGGTCAAAAAAGCATAAATCCTAAGAACTAAGGCTGCGTTCATACAGGCAGCCCATTTCAGATCTATTGCCAATTATTTGCATATCTGATACCCATCTGATCTTTTCCCTAATGTGTAAACAGCAAAAAAAGACATGGAATTTGATCTTTGGACTTCTGATTTATACTACCTCCATATGTGGATCGGAACCCTGATACAAACCCAATCCTCTATATGCGACCTCTGTCTGGATGCTCGGATCAAATTATTTTCCTCTGAAGTGTTTTTTATGCACATGAGAAGCACCCGAAATTGAAAGGTACAGAGACAGGAAATGAGCATTGCATCTGTGTGCTACATCAGTGTGAATGTGCAAAACTGATCTGGTCACATGTAAAACTGAGTGTGGACAGTCAGGAAAAAAAGACTGGATATAGAAAGAAAGAAAATTAGATTTGGGTTTTTAGGGTATACAAACTGTATTGTATTGTTTCTCACTTTAGAATCTGGTTCCTTTCAAACAGCACCGAGTTTGTAGCTCTGGAACAGACGTGACAGAGAAGCCTAATGCAGCCTCAGCTCACCTGTATCTCACTGCTCACCTGTATCCCACTGCTCACCTGTATCTCACTGCTCACCTGTATCTCACTGCTGTCTAACTGAAGCCCCCGATGCCAGCACAAAGGCAATGTGTAAGAAGCCCCAAGGTAAAAATCTGGTAATAAGGTGGTGAAATACGCGTTGACCCTGAAAAGCAAATATTCTGTGTTTTTATCAATTCAGACTTTTTTCTCTAAAAACTAATGTAATGGCAATTATTGCCTCATTTACAGACATCAGTCCCAGTTACTACATCACTCAGAAGCAACAACCTGTGAAAAACCCTCAACACCTTCCCACCCAAACTCTAAACCCCCAAAAACATCTCTAACTCCACGAGGGAGAATTAGAAAAACTCACATGAATATTACATTTTTGAACACCCTTATCATTTGTCTCCTGAGTGGCGCAGTGGTCTAAGGCACTGCATCGCAGTGCGAACTGTGTCACTAGAGATCCTGGTTCGTATCCAGGCTCTGTCGCAGCCGGCCGCGACCGGGAGACTCATGGGCGGCGCACAATTGGCCCAGCGTCGTCCAGGGTAGGGGAGGGGAGGGAATGGCCGGCAGGGATATAGCTCAGTTGATAGAGCATGGTGTTTGCAACTCCAGGGTTGTGGGTTCGATTCCCACGGGGGGCCAGTATAAAAATAAAAAAATGTATTCACTAACTGTAAGTCGCTCTGGATAAGAGCGTCTGCTAAATGACTAAAATGTAAATGACACCATTACCATGGGGATGCATCTTTTGGTAGGAAGATGTGGTTGGACAAAACAAGGCCTTTTTAAGATTTGATTTGCCTGATCTAGCCAATCCAAAAACAGGAGAGTAAGTTTATGGCAGCAATAAATACAAAACAAAGGCTTGGGGAAATGTGCAAGGCATATTCTGTTAGGATCTGTTAGGGAGTTTTATGTCCTGCATCTGAAGACAATGAGTCACTATTCTTTAAGCAGATAGTTCACCCGAAGAACACATCTACGTAGTCGACAGATGACGACTTGGTTTAAAGATTAGGTTTGATTTAGGCATGTTATTTATTTTGCACTCAACACTTCAGATGCTAAGTTGTAACAAGGAAGCCCAGATCTTGATTTGCTGCTTCAATTAGCTAAGATTTGGTAAAATGTGTTACTCCAGTGAACTACCCCTTGAATGGTCCTTCAAAAACACAAAACATGATGCAAAATACACCAATCCTGAGGATAAGAGGGAAGTTCATAGTTTAAACAAGGTCTCTTCAGGAACAATTAAGTAATCTTTTAGAACGTTCAGAATGAGCAGGGAATATCAAATCTAATGATAAAACTACAGGAGACACTGGCTTGTGATGAGGAGTTGGTTTTTAAGCAACATGCAGTGCCACTGAGCAACACAACATTAGCTGCATGTCCTTTTCAAAATAACTGACAGAATCTTGCTGTTCTGATGCCTCTCTTTATATAAAAATCTATTTTGCTTCATACATTTTACATTTGAGTCATTTAGCAGACGCTCTTATCCAGAGCGACTTACATTTAGTGAGTGCATACATTTTTCATACTGCCACCTGGAGCAATTCAGTTGTTGAGAAGGTTTCCCACCACTCAACAACTGTTTTTTGTACCCAAAAGATCAGATCAGGTTTGGTGAATATGGATCGACTCGAGTCCCGAAACACTTTAAAAACCTATGTGGCCCAACTGGACCGGAGCTCCTCGTTCCTGGCCCTAGTGGCTGTATCAGTATCATACAGTATTAGCATCACTGTGCCATTCCCCGTAAGAACACATTGCATGCAAAAATGAAAATCTCTCCTGTAGGCAGGAAATCTCTACCCACAAATTACAAAAAAGCATTAACAGATTACAAGTGAATTAAATGGGCAACCAGGATATTTTTTTTTACTAGGTACAGTAGTAAAGTTCATATGCAAAGTACTGCATGATATTATTGAATCATATCTAGGAGTCTAATGTAGGAGGATGGGCATTATTACACACAGTGGCCGGGACATTTGGAATTTCCCCTAATCAAATGTTGGACGTGCCTCCCAGTTGTTACTCCTTGTCCTATGGTTTAGAATGGAATCATAGACTTTGACAGAAATCGCATCATTGCATCTGTCCCATTATGGCATCTGTGAGAGTATGGGCAGCATCATTGAGGCCATTTCCATTTTGAAGTAGTCCATTTTCTTCTTCTACTACTACTTCTATGAGTTGGCAAACAAACTGAAAAGGTGCATAGTGCCACCTGGAGTGTGTTTTTTGAACAGGTATAAAGACTAGGTTGGCGATTTACTGCCACCTGCAGTTATGGAATGTTTGCTCACAAGTATAATTAATTGGCTGATCCCTCCTTATGACCCGGATGGAATCATGTGATCCTTCCATAACCCATAGTAAGTCCTAACCAGTTGACTACTTAAAAATGGTGAAAATCCTCAATGGCTTGCCCATGCTAAAACTGGCTTTTAGGCACTGGAGTCCCCTTTCTATCTCTATGGATGGAATTAAACTCTTCCCCCATACTGTTAGGAGCATGTCCTACAACAACCTCTTCAGCTCATGCTCTACCAGCAGAGGGAAAATAAGCTTTTTAGGCTTGTTTTTTCTGTTGTCCAAAATGTCCCTTCAGTGTATGACTCCTAATCGATAATCAACCTATTGGACCAACACTCCTGGCCAACTGGCACTAAACACAAAGTAAAGCTTATCGGTTTCAAAATAGCAAGAAAAAGGCAGAAATATAATAGGGTTCGTTTCGATATTCGGTGTTGTGGGTACTTAGATAAAGAGGCTAATAATTTAGTGTAATGTACAAAAATGTATTACTTAAAAGGTTTGAACACATTTTTTCTTTTTTTGTCTATCTTGAAAAGGGGGGTGGTCATTATTCACATGAGTATACACTTTGTCTTGGACTTCTTTTTCTTCTTTTTGCCCTCCTTGCTCATCTTCTCCTTGTGTTTTCGGATTTCCCGCACTAATGTGTAAAATGCATCATCGACACCCTGGGGAAAATAAAAAGATAAGTTACGGTTAGTTTTGAAAACTTCTCAAAAACATGGATGTTCTCATCTGTGACTAACATGAAAGCTGGGTCAGATGCTAATGTAATGGGTGCGTCTGAAACGGCACCCCTATTCCCCAATATAGTGCACTACTTTTGACTATATAGGGAATAGGATAGCATTTCAGTGGGCACTACTAGTATGTTACAAATGTGTTCATTGTGTATTGATTAGTTGGAAGGTGGATTTGCGGCATGAGCTGGCCCAGCAGACAGCACAGACACAATCCATGGTGCCACAAAGAAACAAAGAGATAGGGACAAAAAATAACCAGGTCTTTGTCATTCGCTGAGCACGACATTGGTTTCCTCCCTGATGCAATTGGTGGCAAACTCATTTCAGATTGTGACAGAGAGATTGAGAGAAAGAACAAGAGAGAGCGAGAGACAGACAGTCACAAAGGGAGTATCTGTGCCACAACATAGATGACTCACACAGTTGGCCACAGACTTTAGTTTCAGTGGAACACCTCGGTGTTGTCCTCTTAGTAATCACACTTCCTTGGTCACCATTTCAACACTTCATTTCAGCCCAGATTATCACAATCCCCATCTCCATTAATCACACAGATCAGATCTCATTTGAGCAGACTACAGAATGATCAGCACGCCATGATAGCATAAACACACATAGAGACAGAGATACCACAGGAGTAGAAACCAAGATGGATGCCTGGTTTCAAGGAGAACCCACGGCCCAGCAAATCCCAGGAGGTTAGCTTAGACAGGAATGGATCCCGCCCACCAAGGAGCAAGCAGCACTACTTTCCTTGCTCTGTACTACGCGGTCGACACCCTCCCACACACAAACCCGACGGACGGGAGGGAGCGCGGCCGCTACACACTTACCCCTTTCACATCACAACACACTTTTTAAGCTTGACGCAGCGCGGGGTCTTTTCTTCCTTGCTGAGCTTTTTCAACCGGTACAGCCTGATCTCCCGTACCAGAGTGTAAAAGGCATCCTCCACTCTCTGCAGTGCGAAACACAGCTCTCCTCAGTTAAAGAATAAAGCGACACTGTGGATTCCCTCAGTGTTAGGGAATACAGGGACACTATGTGGACTCCCTCAGTGTTAGGGAATACAGGGACACTATGTGGGCTCCATCAGTGTTAGGGAATACAGAGACACTATGTGGACTCCCTCAGTGTTAGGGAATACAGGGACACTATGTGGACTCCCTCAGTGTTAGGGAATACAGGGACACTATGTGGACTCCCTCAGTGTTAGGGAATACATGGACACTATGTGGACTCCCTCAGTGTTAGGGAATACAGGGACACTATGTGGACTCCCTCAGTGTTAGGGAATACAGGGACACTATGTGGACTCCCTCAGTGTTAGGGAATACAGGGACACTATGTGGACTCCCTCAGTGTTAGGGAATATAGGGACACTATGCGGACTCCCTCAGTGTTAGGGAATATAGGGACACTATGTGGACTCCCTCAGTGTTAGGGAATATAGGGACACTATGTGGACTCCGTCAGTGTTAGGGAATATAGGGATAACTATGTGGACCCACATTGTGCAGTTTTTATTGGATATTCGGTTGTCCTTGCCATAACCAGCACCTTGAAGAAGTCGCACCACTGTGCACGGAGCTTCTATTTCTTTTAAACATTTGGGATGCAAGACTAAGACAAGTCTACATATAGCTGTGTATGGAGTTAATGTATAAATCTGAGGTAATTGTTTTACAGTTCAAAACATTATAGTAATTTAACTTCACAGGGGAATGACAGGTACAAACATTATACTCAGTGTCATTGTAAAGGTGTGAAAATGGTGTGTGTTTTATTCAGTACAAGGGCAACACCAGGTAGCCGGTCAAAACGACCAATGAAAATGGAGAAGAGAGCTGGAAGAGACCAATCAGTGTCCCCCATGTCCACAGAAAGAGTTGTGATTGGACTGATGCAAAGAGAGCAGGAGAAGGTTCACCTCACTGACTGCCAAATATATCACAGTGTGTCACAGCCAGTCACGCAAAGCATCACGACACACACCAGACGCCACCAACCACAAAACAGACAGAATAGCACACGATGCAGCTCAAGATCACTCCCATCCCACTATCCATCAAGCATGATTATTACCCCACCACAAAACAATTACTGATAAATTCCCCTCTTTGGTGACGATTCAGTGAGAAATTTACTGATTTGTTGATTAAAAACAATGCCAGATCCGTTATGAAGCCTTCCCACATTACCATGACAGAGGGGCATGCACAGATACAACAATTACTCATATATCAATAATTAAATTAAGCAAAGGGACTTTGCATTACATTACCTGATACATTTCCAAGCACCATTTAGAAACCAAGCACATAGACACTGATACCAACAGAAATCAAAAAGCACCTCGGGAGTCATAAGAGAACCACAGCATTTTGTGAGATTGAAGTGGCCATGATTGTAAAAAGCCATTGCAAGGACACCTGACATAGCTGGTAAGAAGTAATCTTGCTACAATAATGAAAATTGATCTGTGGAGAACATTGTTAAATGGTTTCTGTTTTCACACCAGGAAATACCCTCAAAGCTACAAGCAACCCTTCACTATTACAAGGGCTTGATTTATTAAGGTGCAATGTTATACCAGGTGACGCTTAGTAATCTGTCCCAAATCGGTCTTCAACTGGATATGTAGCAGAGCTAACGTAGCCTTGGAATCCAGACTTAATAACGCTACATTTCACTTCACTGAATTCAGTCTGGACTTCCAGGCTAGCCAATGGCCGTCATGTTAAAAACCAAGGCGATGGTTGCTGTTTGTGCCATGGCTGTGACCACCCAGCCCACTACGACCTGTTGTCTCTGTCTCTCACCTGTCTGGTTTTGGCCGAGGTCTCAATGAACGGGATGCCGTAGCTGCGCGCTAAGTCCTGAGCCTGTTTGGTGTCCACTGTCCGGGACGGCAGGTCACACTTGTTCCCCACCAGCACCATGGGCACGTCTTCTGAGTCTTTCACCCGCTTGATCTGCTCTCTGGAGAACAAAGACGACAGGGAAGGCAAGGGTTAAATAACAGTGCAACGCTTCGGTCGTCGTTTTTTGGGGTTATTGATTTCACACGCAATCTGGGTAAAGGGTTAGTTAAAGAGTGCGTTGTATTTACAGGTAGAGAGTGATGTTGACATTGACACATAGTTAAGGGGATATAGTTGGCAGAACCGTGTCTGCTTGGAAACTGCTTCACAGATGTTACAACTATAGTCTGGCTTTCCGCCATCAGTGCACTTGGCAGCAGTACTTCAGATGTCCTGTATAGCAGCAGAAGTTAGCTCACCTATAGGAGGACGTCCTCTACAAGGGAAGAGCCTAGCTCACCTATAGTGGTGGATGTCCTCGAAGGACTTGGTGTTGTTGATGGCGAAGACACAGAGGAAGCCCTCCCCTGTCCTCATGTACTGGTCCCTCATGGCGCTGTACTCCTCCTGACCTGCAGTGTCCAGGATGTCCAGCAGACATGTCTCCCCGTCAATCACCACCTGCTTCCTGTATGAGTCCTGAAGGAGGGAGAGAGAAAAAGAGAGATGGATTGGGTCAGGAGGGGCACCTTACCGGTAATCAAGTAGACTGGACACTTATGAATGATCACATATTCATAGGTGTCCAGTCTACCTGACTAGGAATCAGAACTCCTAGACCTAACTATCTGGTCATAGCATGCTCATATAATAAAGTGCCAGAGGAAATTCAATTATATTAGAATCTGAGAGAAAGGATGGGATGACTATCTAAGAGAGACGATATGTGCACCAGGGGAGAAATGCAGTCAATCTTCAAGCAGTCATGAAATTGAAAGCTTTCAGAAAGTATAATTGAGTAATAATATCCAACATGTGAAACTACTAAAGCATTTAATCACATAGCAATCTATCATCAATTTGACTGAACCTACAAAATTAAACTGACTGAAAGACACCATGTTTCTGATATTATAATATTCATACATTCAAATAACAGAAAATGATCCAAACCTGTTCGGCGTCTCATCTTCAACCAGAAAAACCTGCTAGAACTCAATTTCTAACCAACTTTTTTCCGAAAAGATTTCTGTCTCCCGATTCCCAGGCATGCCTTGCTGAAGTAAAAGACACACAAGGGTGTACTGAAACTACTTATTACCTCGATGGTGGGGTCATATTCATCCACAAAGTGGTTCTGGATGAGCTGGATGGTGAGTGCGCTCTTGCCCACGCCTCCAGCCCCCACCACCACCAGCTTGTATTCTGTCATCGTTCACCTGTGGGAGAGAAAGCACACAGAAATAAGGTCAGTGAATATAAAAAATATATTTTACGCTACAGACTAACTATCGACACAAAAATCCTCCAAATTTCTGGAACGTTTCTGAAATGTTGCAACCCTACAAAAACACATAGTGAGAATGAAGCTGAGGATATGAAGGATTTCTCCCCCCTTCTCCATAGCCCTCTGGTGAAGTTGTGTTAATTCCCTATCAGTTAAACTACACTGAAGTGCAAATGCAAAATTGGATTTTGTCCCGATCGTCTCCACATTGCCTTTCATTTGCACAATGGCCATCCCATGTTCTCCAGAGCTGGAGGGAATGTATACAGTAACAGATCTCTGTGGATACAAGTATGTTTACATTCTATCTAATTTCATCCTTTGATTTTACAGAAACGGGACGAGAGGATATAATATGCTCTATTATCTTATGATAAAATTCTTAAATGGGATTATCAACAAGGAGAAGATATGGAAAACTATGAAAGAGATTGTGGAATTTTGGAAAGATAGAGTAGCTTATGTATATCAGGTCTGTTGACTAGTATACTGTTATCAATTGGCACAATCAATGTTCTTTCTCATTAAATAATGACTTGTAATCATTATTTAACATTGTTTGAACTGAAGATTGCACTTCACAATTCCCCCAAATATCATCCCCACAAATGTTGCTACTAAATCATCTTCCAACTGAAATGTATCTCTAACTGTAACAACACAAGTTCAATAGTTAGTTGTGAGTAACAGCTACACAATGGGATCTGGCCTCAGGCAGTAGACACAGATCTATGGTGTTACATTATGGTCCCAAAATTGACAAACATCTAGGAAGCACACACTGCTATGCAGACGGTATGTGAACAACAACTGTTCCTACAGTTTCCCTTTTCAAAAACAAAAACAAAAACATACCCTGCTAGGTATAATACTGAGGTCAAAGTGGTTTTCAGAGAATCTTGTCTTGTCTATACAAACAAAAATAACACCTTACCTATGCCTCCACCCAACTGAGGTATATATTTACTAACAAAGTTAGTGTTTCATCACACTTTTCAAACTCCCCTTGAAATGATCAGCCTGGTGTTCTACACCTATTTATGTACTCCCTCTGAAAATATATGAAACAAAAGGAGCAGTATAGCACTTAGGCCTACTATTTATATTGAATATGACATTATAGGCCTAATGATCACCATCATCATCAGAAACTATTGCCTACAGTGCGGATAAGGTGAATAGATGAATCATGACTTTCAGATTCTACCACAACAATGCTTGCCATGTTAATACAATATTGACACCCCTTTCATATCCTGACATTCTGCAGGAAATCAAAAGCTTGTTCATGATTGGCGAGTCCTGACACCTGTACAGTCAGCTGTCAATACCAGTCATCAACAAGGTTGTAATGTCCAATCAAGCACTCTCCCCAAGTTCTGGTTGCACATCACTAACAAGTTACAGTAAAATACATGCCAATATTGTGGGAAAGTATTGTGAAAGAGTAGACAAATAGTAGCCTATAAAAAACCCAACAGTGTCCATTTTATGCAGCTTACTTATTCACAAACTCTGATGGTAGACAAAGTGAGCTTTTCACCCATTTTCATTGGCAGTCAACCAAGGCCTAATGATAGCAGTAGCTTCCATTGTAAAGTGTAGGCCTACTACTAGTCATTTGTAAAATACTCTACACGTGAAATGTGGTCCTCTGTAGCTCAATTGGTAGAGCATGGCGCTTGTAACGACAGGGTAGTGGGTTCGATCCCCGGGGCCACCCATACGTAAAAGTGTATGCACACATGACTGTAAGTCGCTTTGGATAGCGTCTGCTAAATGGCATATTATTATAAATGATGAGAGAACAAAACACCCTTATAGATACACACTCAGGTTGACTGGAGTAGTTCCACATGGATAGAGTAGCCTAGATTATGCAGATCCCCACAAGCGTTAGTTAACTAGAATAGCAGTGTACGAATTTGTTTAACACTATCTGGAGGCACAATGGATTGAATGCTATGTGTAAACCCGGTAGAAGCTGCAGCGTTCATGGGCGAGTTGATGAGTTTGAAGTCGCCATAAATACCGCATAGGTCTGCATTGCAGACATTAGGTTAACAATTGGGCGTAGTTTGCATAAACAACTATACTTTAGCTGCAAATGTTCAGAAAATTACGTCATCAATACAGGCCCAACCTAAAATTAAGTTACCGGCGAGGGGATACAATGTCGAGGGGATACAATGTCACCCCTGTATCCATTGTGTAAATTGATACAAATGTAGCGATCTTGTCCAATTGTTTTACCTTTAGCGTATGGAGTTCCGCGTCCGAAGTAGAGACCAAATAACAAGTCAAGCAGATAATCCTCGCTTTTCACACGATCTCTACATTTCCTACTTCACAATGAAACGGTCCCATTTGTGTAGATTTAACTTCTTTGAAAAAGCAGACGAAAGTAAGGAAATTAATCGATTTAACTTTACATTTGATCCAGCGTTTGGCCTGCTACTCTCAATTCAGCTGAGCTTGGCCTTAACGCGAATATGGGCGGATACCGGGTGCAGAGTAGGCTAGTACAGCTCACTTACCCAGAAAGCAGGGGATTTCAACTGGTTTCAGTGATATCACTACACTAGTGTCGCAATATGCAATATAAAGACGCTCTTCCCCTCTGTTCTCCACTCAATGCACTTCTACTTTACCCCAATCTATTGTTCTGGTGGGTGCCTGTGTTGGCAGATTGTGTTTTGAAACGTTCTGTGGTCGATATGTTTTTCCCCAGAGAGGACTGAAATAGGGCGTATGTATGCGTACAAATTACTTGGAATTACATAAATAGGCCTATTGAAACCATTTATATCTATAAATCGATCATTATGGCAGTGTGAATTGAATTATTTTACATAGCATCAATATTTCAAGACCTATCTCCGGGAATAAATTGTCAGCCTCCCAGTGAAGCTGGAACAATAACAGATAGGGGGCGCCTCCACTATATATAGGCTCTAAATATAACTGGAACATACTGGAGGGACGTCATTCCCAGACAAGGAAATGATTTGGTGATCCGGTGTCAGTTTTCCTCGGATTTCACTGGTATACCTTCTGCGCAGAATATGTGCATAGAGTTAGACGCTAAAAACATACAGCTAGGCTCGGGGACGCCAAACAGAGAGACGGTAACCAACTGACACAATCACCCATATGCGTAAAATTAAAATTACGCATGTGCATAAAAGTAATGTGCGCAGTTTTATGTTGTTTTTTAAGTTGTCAGAAATGCGCAGAACAGCTATGGACAGAACATAGAGATACAGTAGAGAGAGGAATCTAGTGCCCAAAATACAATTTAAGCCGCTGCCAGCGCCATTGAGGACTATCCCCATTTTGAAGTAGTCAACTGGGTGGGACTTCCTTGGGTTAAGAAAATATAATGTCATTTCATCCAGGTCATCAGTCGGGATCAGCCAATGAATTATACTTGTGAGCAAACATACCAAAACTACAGGTGGCAGTAAATCGCCAACCTTTGCTTTATACATGTTCAAACAACACACTCCAAGTGGCAGTATGCACCCTTTCAGTTTGTTTACCAACACATAGAAGTAATAGAAGAAGAAATGTAGCGACTAATCTCGGACAAAAATTGTGTAGTTGTTAAAAAATATATTCTGCAAGCAAGCATCAGAGAAATACACTAACTCTGGTGGACAGGGCTTTTTCTTCCAACCAATCAGGTGAGGGGGTTGTCATTCTGGAACGCGCTTTCACGTTTCACAGGGTTCCGGTCTAGAATCACGCTTCCAACTGTGCTAAATATGTTTCAAATTTGACAAAATTACTAGCTAGCTAAATAATATTCACAGAATTTGAAATCTACAACAAGGCGTTGGTGAGGAAGATGAAGGGAAGAATTAAAACAAGTGTTTCCACATAGTATAGCTGATGCTTTGACATCTATTGATAAACATGCACCTGTTAAGTAACTGAACTGTTAAGGCTCCATGGATTGATGAGGAATTGAAAAACTGTATGGATGAAAGAGATGGGGCAAAAGGAGTGGCTAATAAGTCTGGCTGCACATCTGACTGGCTGAGTTGCTGCAAATTGAGAAATTATGTGATTAAACTCAACAAAAAGAAGAAGAAACTGTATTATGAAGCCAAGATCAATGATATAAAGAATGATGGAAAAAATGATGGTCAGAAAGACAAATTCAACTCCATCTATCATCGAATCAGATGGCTTTTTCATCACGAAACCATGTGATGTTGCCAATTATTTTAATGATTACTTCATTGGCAAAGTGGGCAAACTTAGGCAGCAAATGCCAACAACGAACAATGAGATACTCATGCATAAATAAACTAATAATGAAAGAAAAGCATTGCAAGTTTGAATTTTGTAAAGTTTGTGTGGGAGAGGTGGAAAAATTATTGTTATCAATCAATAATGACAAACCTCCTGGCATTGACAACTTAGATGGAAAGCTACTGAGGATGTTAGCTGACTCTATAGCCACTCCTATCTGTCATATATTTTATCTGAGCCTAGAGGAAAGTCTTTGTCCTCAGGCCTGGAGGGAAGCAAAGTCAGCTTGCTATCAGCTCTTAGCAAACTGTTGGACAAAATTGTGTTTGACTAAATACAATGCTATTTCTCTGTAAACAAATTAACAACAGACTTTCAGCATGCTTATAGAGAAGGGTGACTGATGAATAGAATAAGGCGATTGTGGGAGCTGAACTGTTAGATTTCAGTGCAGCCTTTGAAATTATCGACCATAACCTGTTGTTGAGAAAACGTATATGTTATGGCTTTCAACCTCTGCCATATCGTGGATTCAGAGCTATCTATCAAATATAACTCAGGGGGTTTTCTTTAATGGAAGCTTCTCTAATGTAAAACATGTAAAGTGTGGTGAACCGCAGGGCAGCTCTCTAGGCCCTCTACTCTTTTCTATTTTTACCAATGACCTGCCACTGGCATTAAACAAAGCAGGTGTGTCCATGTATGCTGATGATTCAACCATATACGCATCAGCAACCACAGCTAATGAAGTCACTGAAACCCTTAACAAACAGTTGCAGTCAGTTATAGAATTGGTGGCCAGTAATAAACTAGTCCTGAACATCTCTAAAACTAAGAGCATTGAATTTGGTACAAATCATTCCCTAAGTTCTAGACCTCTGCTGAATCTGGTAATGAATGCTGTTGAACAAGTTGAGGAGACTAAATTACTTGGTGTTACCTTAGATTGTAAACTGTCATGGTCAAAACATAGATTCAATGGTTGTAAAGATGGAGAGAGGTATGTCCGTAATAAAGAGATGCTCTGCTTATTTGACACCATACTCCACAAAGCAAGTCCTGCAAGCTCTAGTTTGATCTTATCTTGATTATTGTCCAGCCATATGGTCAAGTGCTGCAAAGACCTAGTTTAGCTGCAGCTGGCCCAGAACAGAGCGGGACGTCTTGCTCTTCATTGTAATCAGAGGGCTAATATTAATACTATGCATGCCAGTTTCTCTTGGCTAAGAGTTGAGGAAAGACTGACTGCGTTACTTCTTGTTTTTAGAAGAAACATTAATGTGTTGGAAATTCCAAATTGTTTGCATAGTCAACTTACATACAGCAATGACACACACACTTACCCCACCTGACATGCCACCAGGGGTCTTTTCACAGTCCCCAGGTCCAGAACAAATTCAAGGAAACGTACAGTATTATACAGAGCCATGAGTGCTTGGAACTCCATTCCATCTTATATAGCGCAAGTGAACAGCAAACCTGGTTTTAAAAAAAACAAATAAAGCAACACCTCAGGGCACAAGGCCTCTCCCCCATGTGACCTACTTGTTGTGTGTATTTACTGACATGGATGTGTAACTGATAGATGCACACACACACACACACACACACACACTACATGCTAATGTTTTTAACTGTACACTACCGTTCAAAAGTTTGGGGTCACTTAGAAATGTCCTTGTTTTCGAAAGAAAAGCAATTTTTTTGTCCATTAAGATAACATAAAATTGATCAGAAATACAGTGTAGACATTGTTCATGTTGTAAATGGCTGTTGTAGCTGGAAACGACCAATTTTTTTATGGAATATCTACATAGGCATACAGAGGCCCATTCTCAGCAACCATCAGTCCTGTGTTCCAATGGCACATTGTGTTTGCTAATCCAAGTTTATCATTTAAAAAGGCTAATTGATCATTAGAAAACCCTTTTGCAATTATGTTAGCACAGCTGAAAACTGTTGTGCTGATTAAAGAAGCAATAAAACTGGCCTTTCTGAGACTAGTTGAGTATCTGGAGCATCAGCAATTGTAGGTCCGATTACAGGCTCAAAATGGCCAGAAACAAATAACTTTCTTCTGAAACTCGTCAGTCTATTCTTGTTCTGAGAAATGAAGGCTATTCATTTACATTTACATTTTGCATTTTCGTCATTTAGCAGACGCTCTTATCCAGAGCGACTTACATATTGGTGCATTCACCTTATGATAGCCAGTGGGACAACCACTTTACAATATATATATATATATATATATATATATTTTTTTTTTTTTGGGGGGGTGGGGTAAGGGGGGGTAGAAGGATTACTTTATCCTATCCCAGGTATTCCTTAAAGAGGTGGGGTTTCAAGTGTCTCCGGAAGGTGTTGAGTGACTCCGCTGTCCTGGCGTCGTGAGGGAGCTTGTTCCACCATTGGGGTGCCAGAGCAGCGAACAGTTTTGACTGGGCTGAGCGGGAACTGTGCTTCTGCAGAGGTAGGGGGGCCAGCAGGCCAGAGGTGGATGAACGCAATGCCCTCGTTTGGGTGTAGGGACTGATCAGAGCCTGAAGGTACGGAGGTGCCGTTCCCCTCACAGCTACGTAGGCAAGCACCATGGTCTTGTAGCAGATGCGAGCTTCATCTGGAAGCCAGTGGAGTGTGCGGAGGAGCGGGGTGACGTGAGAGAACTTGGGAAGGTTGAACACCAGACGGGCTGCAGCGTTCTGGATGAGTTGTAGGGGTTTAATGGCACAGGCAGGGAGCCCAGCCAACAGCGAGTTGCAGTAATCCAGACGGGAGATGACAAGTGCCTGGATTTGGACCTGTGCCGCTTCCTGTGTAAGGCAGGGTCGTACTCTGCAAATGTTGTAGAGCATGAACCTACAGGATCGGGTCACCGCCTTGATGTTAGCGGAGAACGACAGGGTGTTGTTCAGGGTCACGCCAAGGCTCTTTGCACTCTGGGAGGAGGACACAACGGAGTTGTCAACCGTGATGGCAAGATCATGGAACGGGCAGTCCTTCCCCGGGAGGAAGAGCAGCTCCGTCTTGCCGTCTTGACTTTGGTCCCAGCTCTCTGCAGGTCATTCACTAGGTCCCCCCGTGTGGTTCTGGGATTTTTGCTCACCGTTCTTGTGATCATTTTGACCCCACGGGGTGAGATCTTGCGTGGAGCCCCAGATCGAGGGAGATTATCAGTGGTCTTATATGTCTTCCATTTCCTAATAATTGCTCCCACAGTTGATTTCTTCAAACCAAGCTGCTTACC